ATTGGAGCTCTTCTGAAAGCATATTTTTTTTAACCATCCACACAAAATGAGTTTCTAAATTCATCTGCGAGTGAAATAGGCCATGCAGTTGCAGAGTCATGCCTCATTTTACATCTGCAACATTTAGTCCAAACAATTGTTAAAATAGGTTTTGAGGGAGTTCGCAGAAGTAGCAAGGTCGCTTTTACCTGAAGCTTTGCTGACTGTAAGTATGTAAGTGAGCTGATTCAAATCTCTGCACTTGGAAGCTGTAATTTTGGAAAAAAAAATCTTCATGTATTAATTTGGGGTTTTGTTAGAATACGAGCCATAAATACATAGAGATACATTTACCGCTGCTCTTTATTTTTAACACGGGCTAATGAATGCTAATGAACAATGCAAAGGTTATCCTGAGCTGAAGTTGTATTCTCTGAATCTATGCTGGCAGTTTTCAGTGAATCTTAGAATCATCAGACGTAGCTGTCGTAAATTCTCCCACTTATTAATATTTCAGATATTAGATCAGACAAATGTTCTTATGCAGCATTTGAGAATAGCATATACACAAACCCTACTTTCCCCGTTGGTTGGTACACTACAGGAAACTGAGACACTGCTTTGAAATCCAGGGACACCCGGAAGCTTTGGTACTTGCAGACAAACGCCACAAACTGGATGGGAAGAGACTGAATAAGGTGGATGAAACACTAATAGACTCTTTCTTGTTGAGGCATATTTAATATTTTAAAATCAGAGCGTATGTGCTGTCTAGTGCTGCTTTTGCGTCACAGAAATACTGTATGCATGAAAACTCATGCGAGCATGCACAGCTGAAAAATTTCAAGCTGAAACTCCTTTGAAATTCATAAAAAAAAGCATAATTTCCCCTGTGCTGCTCTAAGATAATCCAAACATAATGTTACAGTAATCACAAAGTAATTGTAAGGAATGCTATCTCTGCACTGATCACAGTAAATTGTGCTTAAACAATTCACTTAGTAACCACAACAGCTTTAATACATGTGGATCCTGTGTTTATTCAAGATTTGATGCAACAATGTGATTTAGTGGGGGGGAAAAACCAAGAGGAAAAAAACAGAAAAACCTAGCACTTCCCATCAGATTCACTGCATCTGCTTTAGTACTGTATGCAAACAAATGCTTATCAGGACTTATGTAACCTTTAACTTTCTCCATCCTGCACCATATTTCTCCTAAAAAGTACAAAAAGCTTGAAAACACCTCCATAAAACCACACACTGTCTATTCTATGAAAGGCTCACAGATCGACTTTGGAGCCATGATACTTCTGTGTAGCGTGAGCCTTGTGCTATCTTCAGCACTAATGTGCTCAGGGTTGATGTGCGTCTTAGTTATTCAGGTTAATGCGTTCGCCTGTGGGGCATATTTCCATTCTGGCTCCCACTGCACACACATCCTTTTCTGAACTGTGCCACTGCTTTTCACTGACACTGATGGCTTTAGTATGACTACAGCCATAACGCTGAAAAACCCAATATCCTTCAGAGTGATTCGCATTGTAGGAGCCCTCCTTAGTGTGTTTGTGCCTCAGTCATGTATATCTATAATACAATAGGACTTATTCTATTCCTATTCCTTTATTTAAAAATCTAACAAAATTCCCAACAGGGATTTGAAAAAGCAAGCCATAAGGTGTAAGTGGAACTACATCTGCCAAATCATGAACAAAGTAACCAAAGTGACTAAAACCTGGGGTCTAAAAATACAGGAGGTGCATGTGAAACAGCTGTGGCTCAGGTACCTGCACGTGAGTGCTTCATGATAGGGTTTGATGCTGGCGCTGCGGTCCCTTCGCACGGGTCCCGGCTCAATTGTGGGAAGTCCTGTGGCAGAGGTGGTGGTGGTCCACGTGGAAGAGATCCTCCTCAGAAGGCCGGGGTGGAGGCTCCGCCTCAGACGCTGCACAAAATGCACAGTACAGATACACAGTTAACCACCCCGGAAACCTATCTTATCACTTGTTGTTTAATAAAAATCGAAATCAGTGAGTGGCCGCAGGGTCAGAAAACATGACTATTTGCTTTTGTATTAAATAGATAAAAGCTTTAAAAATACTCCCACCTGTAAGATAAAGTTAATGCTTGTTTGCTTTGTCTCCAGGCAAATAAATCATCTGGATGAGATTGTTGTTTTTTCTGCACTTGGCCAATCTGAAACAAATGACGCTGGTGATAACCTGGAACATTTTTCACAATCTGCCTCGCTGGATCCAAGGAGAATAAACCCCGCATCGGACATTAGCAGGCAGCTGTGGCTCTATATAGCACTGTGCAAATGCCTTTCATCATATAGGCTTTAGCCTCTCTGCTTCTTATTCTCTCTGTAAGTCTCTTTTGTCTTGTTCTGTCAGTCACAGGCTTTCTATGTCTATTCTCTCTATTCTTCCTTCCCTGGGATTCCCAGTCTGTGCCCGTGCAATGCCTCCATCTGCTCTGTGCCATGCAGTCATTTGGCACAGCAGCTCTAAACATGGCAGACTCTCTTTCTCCGTCCTCTGCAGAGTGACCTACTAAAGATTGCCTTAGAATCCTGAATGAGCCCATTCACAACAAGGCTTCATATGCTGAGTGCTAGGACACACAAACTCATGTACAGCATTAGGAGGCATGTATCTCACTTACATTACCTTTAGAGCTTTGATGTAACCTTAGTTCCATTCGCACAAATTTAAAAGAAAATCTTGTTTCTGCTATGAATACAAACATTTTTACCATTTTTTCTATCATCAAAAATGTATGTTTTTCCAATGGTAAAATTGTGCAAGGCTGTAATTTTAAATTTCCATAAAGAAAGCCCTATCACGTTAAAACCAAAAACAGAAATACATGGCACAGAAACACACACAGCAGTGTCGACATTTCATCATTTGTATAACCGTTTAAGAGGGCAGAGTGAGTTTCAACATTTAACAAGTAGTTATTTGTTTTGTCATTCATGGTTTTTTTTGTAGCCCTTTCAATGGAGTTGCCATTTTGCAATGGAGACAGAGAACATGCCTGTGTTGGACAGAAAATGAGCTTGGAAAACCTTCACTCCTGTTATTCTCCTCCTGGGCAGGCAGAACTGGGCACATTGTCCCTCGGGGGAGGAAAGTCTTAATGAGCACAGTTTCGCAGGCTACTCCACAGGTGCAGTTCATCTTGACTACTTTTCCACAGTTCAGATGATGTAAACGTGCACCTGTCAGACCAGCGACGTGACAACACTTTCCACAACGGCCAGAACAGGTATCGCATAGCTGGAGGGTCATGGAGGAGGTCCAGGTTTGCTTACACGCTTGTCGGTCTTTGCAGCCTTTAGAGGAATACATTCACCTCCATGTCGCCTCGCCTCTTCTACTCCGCTCCTCACATTCGTGCGCACACACTCTGTATGGCTCTGCACATCTGTCATGTTGACACAGCTGCAGCTATGAAGGGAAGAACAGTGCTCCAAGCGCTCTATTTTTCTTCACTCAACTCTACAAAAATACTCCTTCATTTGATGCTAAAAGTTCTGAGAGCAGGAAGCACTCATTAGCTGAAACATGGGCTAAAAGATTAACATGTGTGGGGAGTGCTGTGTGGTATATAAATCATTTGGCCTTAATAAGGTGGACCACATTTCCATCCAAGGAATATTTCACTGTTTCCAAATAAAATTATTTTGTTTCAGCCTCTTGACTACTTCTGATTAACACGTTTGACTTTTCTTTTAAGGATGAAAAATATCCCCTCTTTCATCTTTGGTTCCAAGGGCTACATTTCTTTGTGTTAACTCATTTTGTTACCTTGTGGATGGATGTCTTCTCTCCTTTCTCAGGTACCTCCTCTGAGTCAGAGCAGGTGTAGACATCGCTGGGGTTATGCAGGGGGGCAGGGCGTGGCCGGTGCAGGGGCTGGAAAGTGAGCTGGGTGGTAAGCATGTTGCTGACGGCCCGCAGCGACGTGCAGGTGTTGGGTGGGAGAGAGGGGTCAGCCAGCAGGTCTGTAATTAGTCCATGGGCTTCTCCCATCACTGCTATGTCCACCATGACAGTTGTGCCTGATGACTGTAGGATGACAAGGAAACAACGAAGAGTTAATCATCATTGCAACAGTAGCTGATGTGAGCTGATGCTAATTAACGGCTGAGTCTGATAGCGGCCGTGTTCCACTTCTCGATGGCAGCCATGAAGAGCGGGTGTGTAAACTATGTCAGCAGCTCCTTTCTGAGTATATAATGTGGTTAACTGTGACACCTGAATTTCTTTTGTTGTTTATGCTAAAGAACTGGTAGTCAAACTATGCTGAAGGTTAGATGGTGTTTTTACATTAAGACAATTTCTTTCTTAGTGACTACTTTTAAGATAAACTGGAACATTCTGTCATGGAATTCATGGACTGAGAAAAAACACTTCCAGAAATCATTGTCTGTGAACACAAGTCACAAAGATGAGACCATATGTGAACATGATTCAGAAACACTGTTTTCGGGCCAAAACACACTTCAAAAGCCTTCATGTCTGGTGGCATGGGGGGTGTATTAATGCCTATTCAGCTAGCTCATCTGGAAAGGGAGCAGTCTTTTTAAGGAAGGCCTTTCATATTTCAGCAAGACAATACTAAAGCACACATAAATCTTTCACGAAGTAAAGACTTTTTATGAGATGAAAAATCTAACATTTTTTCTTAAAATGGTAAATTGTCTCAGTTTAAACATAAACATTACATATAAACATTGTCTATGTTCCATTGTGAATAAAATGTGAGTTTATAAGATTTGCAAATTACGGCATTTTACACAGTGCCCTAAAACTTTTTTCGGAGTTGGGGTTATAAAACCTTTAAAAACTATAAGACCTGTAAGTCCTAGAATTAAAGGGAATCCATTGACACGCCAAATAATCACTGGATGTTATTTGGCCTGCCAGTGTCAGTGGCTAATATTTATCTGGGTGGCTGTAGCTCAGGTGGCAGAGCAGGTCAGCCACTAATCAGAAGGTTGGTGGTTTGATCCCAGGCTGCATCCTGGCTGCATGTCAAATATCCTTAGGCAAGATACTAACCCCGTGTTGCCTACTGGTGGTGGTCAGATCGTTGTACAAGTTGTTATTCTAGCAATTTATGCTGTGGTATCTGTTGATTTTCAGTCTTGAATTCCAGTGCATCATTAAGAATTTGAACTTTTAAATAAACAGTTTGGAATATATGAATGGCACGTCTTTATACAGCACTCTGCTAGTAGTCAAGTTACTTGAAAAAAGTAATCAGTAACTAATTACTGATTACTTCCCCAAAAAAGTAACCCCGTTACTTTACTGATTACTTATTTTCAAAAGTAATTAATTACTTAGTTACTTAGTTACTTTTTAAAAACACAATTTACAACCTGAATAGGTGATAAAGCGATAGATCTTTCAGCCCAATTCTACTTTTTCTGCATAATCCATCATACAAAATGTAATCAAATGGAAAAGTCTCTTTTTAAAACTTGTTTTATTAGTTTTAATCTTTTAACTTTATGCATCAAGCAAACATTTAATTATATGCAACATTCTCTGACTGGAAGAAATTTGTTTAATATTTAAACCTATTTTCTGCACATTCCAGCACATATAATATTTTTTTTTTTTGTGTTTACACTCACTCTTTCAAATAGATGCAAGTAAAACACAGCAGAAAATAAATAAAGTCAAAGACTCAGCGGTCCTGTTGCTCTATTTTCACCTGTAAAGCAGGACTGCGGTAGGCGGAGGTTTACCCTGGTGCAGGTGCGCCGCGGTCAGTTGAAGAATCCGCGAGTTTCTCTGTGAATTTCCCATTACGTGGTAGCGCACTCGGTGCTTGCTTGGAAGTTTAGGAGGTTTTTTTTTCGCTGTAAAAAGAAGTTTTCTTCCCACGCACAACGCTAATGTTTTTGTCACTTTTTATGGAATCAAACTCAAAATAAGGTCAGTACTTCCGCGCTTTAAACGCTGCACGCTCATACTCTCTCCCGCACTCGATATATGATCCACTGTTGATCTGCGCACAGCTGTTGCCACGAATGGCGCACTTGCTTACGTCATTGTCATGAGACATTCTGCAAAAAAATCACGGTTTTAGTAACGCAGTAACGCAGCGTTCCTACGGGAAAGTTTTTGCAATAGTAATCCCTTACTTTACTCGTAACTTGAAAAAAGTAATCGGATTACAGTTACGCGTTACGCGTTACTGCCCATCTCTGGTCATTAGACAACATTAATCTTTGGCTCTCTTCCATTGTGTCTTTGTCCTGTCATCCTCTCCTCTGCAGATAGCCACCTTCCCTGAGCCTAGTTCTTCTGCAGGTTTCTTCCTGTTAAAAGGGAGTTTTTCCTTCCCACTGTCTCCAAGGCATTTGCTCATAAGCGTCATGTAATAGTTGGGGTTTTCTCTGTTTTGTTGTAGGGTCTTTACATTACAATATAAAGTGCCTTGAGGCAACGGTTGATTTGGCGCTACATAAATAAAACCGAGTTGAATTGATTTGGATATGAATTGAATTAATGTCATGATGTTACTGTATGGTATATGTAAATGCAGTGTTGGTGGCTTGTGTGTGTGTTTCAGAAGTGACTAAATAGAAATTTGGGATTAAGTATATATTCAGGATTATGCATTTTAATTCAATGCTGTCTTTCTACGGGGCATTAAAACATGACTGAAAAATTAAATGAGACAACAATCTATGAATAAAATCTTAAGCATTAAAAATATACAGATCTTGATTTTCCTGCTTTCCAGTGGTGTCTGTGCATATAATCATTAAAAACAATAATTAAAAAGTTCAAAGTCATCAATTGCTTTGTTCAACTTTTACAGCGTATCTTTTATGTAGAGTGACGCTGCGAAATCCCTTGAAATGTGCATTTAGTTCAGGAAAAAACAACAACATCAGAAAACAAATTATACAAATGCTAAGTAGCCAATCGCATAAATAAACAAGATCCAAACCCAACACATAAAGATATAAAAACAAGAAATAGTCCTTTTTGTGCCACTATTAAGTATAGAAATATATTCAGTAGTAGTGTTAGACTTTGCCAGGGTTTGTTTTATAGCTGTGGTGTTACACAGGCACACATACAAACACGCAAACTTACATCCACTCATAGATCAAAGTCTTTATTTTTGCCTTATATGGCTCTTTTTAAAACATGAGAAGGAGGAGTACAGCGATGTACTTCACAGTAGTAGACCTCGATATTCTAGCAGCCTGTTAACTATCCGCATAACAACATAAGTTTGAAACACGTTCAGCACAGATGTGGATTACTTGATCCTTGTTGAATGGACTCATTAGCAGTGTCTCAAATAGAATCTGACCTTTGGCCTCCTCACTCCTGACCTCTCAGATGGCCAACAGCCATCGTCTGTTTCTGACCGTCTGCTGCACAGCTTTCAAGGCATCGGCGCTGCGCGAGTCAGCCTTGTTTTCACAGGGTAAAGTGAAAAGTTCACAACCCACTCTTAATTGCTGTGCCTTGAGCAGTTGAACAACCACAGCTAAACACAGGTCAGTCCTGGCTGCCAGCTAATTTATCTAATAAGCCCACGAGTTCCCTTTTTCCCCCAAAGAATGTTATCAGATTTTTTTCTCCCCCCAGTGTCCCATTCACTTTGACACCAGCTGCCGGGCACCCAGATTTATTTTATTTACACTGGCTAAGTAGCAAGCGGTTGACGTTAACAACACATGTGTGTATACCTTTCATTCGTCTCCTCTTGTGGGAACAGAGAAGGTCTCGCATTTTGTTTTCCTAGTATCCTATCAGATAAGTTGGTGTATTTATACACGTTTTCCTGTTGGTCTGCAAGAATACAAAAGGCATGTGTTCTCTGAGTTTAAGCAAAGTCCTCCACATAGGGTGACCCACGCATGATGACACGCAGACATCCTCTAAAAGGCGAATGGAACACTTCTGGACAGATCATCGTTTATCCCCGCTGCCCTCTGTTGTCCCGCTCACATTTCCTATACTCTTTTATTTTACACTGCGAGCATAAGATGTAAACACCTGTCTTTCAGCTCATTTATTGCCTGATTTAAGAGTTCGCTAAATAGGGGGTTAAACAAAAGTATGGTGGCTGAAAAACATCTGGCTGGACAAAAACAACAGTGATCCTTAGGGGGTCTCAGTGGCTCCAAACGCACATGCACGTACACACGCAAACTCATCTGCTACTTCTGCAAACTCTGTCTTTTGTTTTCACGCGACAGCCGCGACTCCGAAGCGAAGTGAAAACATAAAGAAGGCACTAAAGTCTGATAAGTGAATACAGAGAGGGCATCATTTTAAGCATGTAATGCAAGGACAGATGAACACTCGGTAAGGAATATGAACACTGCATGACTAAGTGGCCATAAGAGGATGTTAATGATGAAAGCACCGGGTCTGAAACTGAACTTAGAGTAAGCAACTTAAAGCTAAGGGCAGGACATGAACATTCAAGCGCAGTGAAAGACTCCAGGTGCTGGGTTAGCGTTTGAAGTGGGAGTTTTTGGACACAGTGGAATTTGTAGTATTTCTATTACTCGAAAAGCTAGCGAAGCCTGTCTGCTATAACACTTAAGCCATTCCCTTGCTCTGTGAGACCTATATAAAATTTAGACATGAGGAGTTTAAACTTTGAGCTATTAAAAGCACATTGTAGGAAACATAAAGAATGTGAAATCCCAACTATCCCTGCCTTTCAGCTTTTACTTATGCCTCAAAAGATGCGTCTTGCCCAGAAAATACCTCCCGATGTTCCCAATGTTTCAACAGTCTGCAACATAACACTTGAGAATCATCAATGGATGTCCTGGAATAGATGACATTGTAAGTGAGTTATGTAATATCCAAAAATTATATAAGCACTTTGTGTAAAGGTTAGATGTTTGGTCTAATTCATAGGCCACTGCCATAGCTGCAACAGCAGGCTTCACTTGGAGACAGATGTGACCGCTACAAAATAGACCTTTCTTCACTTAGACACATGCGTGTTTGTAAACTAAATAATGATCAAATATATTCAAACAATGGGTTTTAACATTTAGGAATAGTACATCGTACATATGGTTATTCCTTTAAAAAAGAACTTATGCTATTGTCCTTCACAATTATTAAAAGTTTGAAATTTAGAAAAGTTTGCGCACTTGCTAAGAGATCAACAAGAAGGTACATGGTGTTATTAATTATTTAACAACACTGAGCCAAAAAGCAGAAGCACTGTGTGAAAAAATAAGTGCGCCCCATGATTCAGTAGTTTGTCTAACCGCTTTTACAAGCTGCAATAACTTAAAGTAATCATTTTCTATATGACTTTATCAGTCTCTCACGGTTGTGGAGGAATTTTGGCCCATTATTTTTCACAGTGTTGTTTCAGTTTAGTGAGGTTTACGGGTATTTGTTTACACATAGCTCTCTTAAGGTCAGCATTTCAATCAGGTTGAGGTCTGGACTTTGACTGGACCATTGCAACACCTCGATTCTTCTCTTTTTCTGCCATTCTGTTGTAGATTTGCTGCTCTGCTTGGAATCATTGAGCATACATATCACAGCCTGGCTGCCTTAGTAATTTGAACACAAATTTTTTAATATGTCAAATAAAATCCTTACTAAGAATAATAACGATTTGTATTTACTAACATGGAGTTTCTCCAAGCGTTGCAGGGTCCGATCTTGGGATGGATTTGCTGGGACGTTCACGCCTTTGCTAGGATGTCCACTTATGGCATTGTGTTAACTAATTCAGTTGATTTTTGTTGAATAAATAATGAGACGGTGTAGTATGCTGTGTTTTGGAGTTGATTTGAGGCTGTATTTATCTCATTTTAAGACCTGCTAAAGACTTTCTTTTTTGCAGATTTTTTTTAATTATGTCCTGCTATGCAAAACCATAAAGAAGGTGTAATATTTTTTTAACCATGACTGTAAATGCAGCTTGCTAACGAAGTTTGCTGAAGTTAGCCAATTACTTTGCACTCCACTCTCGTCTAAATATGGCTACTCCCAGCTCTCAAAAGATCCTGTCAGCCATAATTATTTAAAAGTCCAAAAACCAGTGGGAGGCCTTGTGCTGGTTAAGCTCATCTTTTATTTACAGTCTATGTTAACTAAGTTAATTTTGCTGACTCGATAGTTGTTTAAAAATAAACAGAAAAGTTCAATTTAATCACAACAACAGTTGCCTCAAGGCTTGACAAACGTGGCTACACTCCTGCTTGTAGCTATAAAGCATGTTTTGCATTAACCTTTTACAAAAAGCTTGCTGATCTTAACCACCAATTTATTCTCCTAGTTTGATCACAAAATTACCAGAAATGTGTGCCCTATTAGTCACACACTCCGAACTGTTAGGGGGTTGACATGCTACATTAGGTAAACCTGACTACCATCATCAATAAACAGAATTTATGACTGCTCAAAAAGCTAAGTCATATACTAAACCATGCATGAACAGTCTGTTATGACATTGTACAATGAATAACAGCAGTGCACATGATCAATGGTCTTAATTGTTTATGTGAACACACTTTAGAACCATACATCAATAGCCATGCCATAGATTAGCACCCGAGCAGCAGTTCATATAAACTAAACTGAGGGCCATTCAAAACAAACCAGCAATCATTCCTGAAGAGTGAGAGTCTGTTTTTTTTTCCCCTCTGTACTAATATATGGCCTAAACGCAATTGTGTAGGTAGGTTTAGCTGTAGAAATGTACCGCAAAATACAATGTGTTATTAGCGGATGCTTCTTAGTAGGGGTTAACCTGAAGATTGTATCTGACCTCACGATAAACAGTTAATTTAAAGGCCTATGACACTATGTTTAATTAATTTTAAATATATGCACAAACTGTACATTTTGGAGAATTAGCTGTTACAAACAACATTGCTGACCAGTGCAACCACCCAGAACAGTGGAAATATGATTGCTGGTGTTCCTGCTGTGTCCCCATGTCTTTTGCCAAAAACTTTGAGGATGACAGATGAAATATACTCGGTGCAACAAACAAAATCCTAATCCTTCTGTCTAATGATGATTATTAATGGAATACACAGACAGGAAGGTCACATATTTGTAATTTTTGAGAGAGTCCACTTGATGCACCTTTAACCTCTCGGCTCACTCATCTAAACATACAGTCATCTGAGCCTCCAGTAAAGTAACAGTGATATGTGGGCCTCTGAAAATTGTGCAATGGTGAGAATATAATGTGTCCCAGAGGGAAGCTGAAGGTCCGGCAATAATGTAAGCAACTCTGCTTTTTCATAAGGTACATATACTGCAGAGCTTATTTTGCAATTAACCCCACGCAAAAAAAAAATAAAGAAAAAAAAGAAAAATGGGAAGAGCAAGAATGTGCTGAGCAAGAAGCTGGGGAATATATCTGAAAATAATTTAGTGTGTTCCTTACTTTGACTTTATTTACCCAAAACTTTGACCACCTTTGAAATAATCATTACCATGCAGTTTTCAGTTTCAGCGGTAGCGCAGCTAACGTAATGGCCTTGATTGCATCTGTCGGGTTGGATTAGGCGAACAGAAGCTAGGGAGACGACGATGTTCTCTAGAATAACAGAGGAGTGATACAGTATGAATCACAGCATAAGGGTAACACAAAACTCCACTGAGACGCTCCGAAATCCCAGCCAAAGCTCGTGAAGCAGCACTACCCTTCTCACTTTCAGACCAACGCTCGGCCCCACTGCGACCCAACTCTCCTCACAAACCTTCCGACTGACTGAGCCAGGTCTCCGGCTCTGCAGCCAGGGTACAATTACACGCTATTATATATTTTATTAAAACGTGGCTCGTCGGGAGGTTGTACGAGGTATCAAAACAAAACAAAAAAGCATAACTGCCTCATTTATGATTTACTGGGAAAGGTCAAGCCCACTGACCCTTCACACTTTTCTTCCACATATTTCATTGTGTATAATTCCAGCAAAGGAGCCCACTTATATAGCTAATATGCAAAAAACAGAAGCTGTGAGACAGAGTGGTAGAGGCAGAAGCTAAAAAAAGAATATATATATGTATATATAT